AACACAATACTAGTAATTGATGCAGATACCATATGGGTTTGACACCTAGAATTTCAGACAATATGCTTTTGAATAAGCATATGTATATAATGTATGCATACAGGATTTTATTTAAGTTGCAAGATTAATGAGAAACCGTGAAATGTACGAAATGTATAAACACGTGTATACAATATGACTTTAGACTTTAAGACAGGCTCCTCTTAGTACACGCGGAGGGCAGACCCTAATATACTCGCCAAAGCGTAATTGGATTTATGGGAAGAAGTTGCGAGACCTTATGGCGCGGCTTTTTAAGAGCCAAGTGGTAACTCTTCTATTAGCTATTTAAATGATTGCTGGTACAGTGTACCCGTCTCACACATGCGTAGATATGATAGTGGGGTTACTATATTGGAAGTCAGTCCGACTTTGGAAAACCTAGGTAGTTACACGTATCATTGAAATGATACACAAGGTACTTCGAAGACGACCCGACTTTTGCGTGTATCATTTATATGATAGACACGGAGGGCAGAGCATAATCGCCTTTGCGAGAAAGGGTACTCGCCAATTTTTGGAAGAAGTTGTGAAACCGTAACGGCTTTGCAAAGGTCACCTTTCTAGTTGATGATTATTTTATACTTATGTTTAAATCATGTGATTTCTGTGTCCCACGTACTCATGCATGGTGTCCTATCAGCCTATATGGGACAATATTTATACACTTCTATGCACTCCAAAGAAGCCTGACTTTTACCAGTATGATTGCAATTATATACACGGGAGACGATTTTGCAACGATTGAGATTTTTAAAGTCGGACTGTCTTCATGCTGTCTAACAACAATTTTGGTAAAAATTAGGTAATTTTCGGGGCGCAATGCCGTGATTCAGGTGAAAGTCGTGTTGTCGTCGACGTGTTTGCAACGATACAGGCAAAATGTATCGGCTATCGAATGATTGCTAGCGTACTCATACATGTCAGTGGCTCGTTCAGTTGAAGCAAAAGAGCCATATATATAATTCTTGAGCATTCTTCCCGAAAGGGTGAGTATTGCGCAGTACACTGCCCTTAGCTTGGCAGCGGCCCTTCGCCGGGTAATGACGTCGCTGGACGTGACCCGGAAACAGATGCAACCAGATACCGCGAAACCCCCATAGGGTGCCTATTTTGACGGAAATCCAATGGCGGAAACCTCGCCGAAAAATGGAAATGAGTCAACTTTGACGCTACAAAGCTCGTTTTTGTGTACAAGTGTGATCTTCAAGTGAACTTCCCGAGGTTCCCTGACTTGTAAGGATTACAACGACATATATTTTAGCCTGGCTTTCCCGATTCTGACTGCGCTATGATAAATTCTGTGAACCATGCTAAGGACTCATTTCGGCGGTTAACACAAGAAACCCACGCCAGCTCAGTCCGTCTTCGTTCCTACCAAGACGAGAGCTATCTGCACGGGTTTCTTGGAGTTTTGGGTGACTTACAGAAGGAAGGGGAACTGCAGGATGTCGTTCTTGAAGTCGAGGACCGGCGGTTTCCCTGCCATCGGCTTGTTCTGTCCGCGGCCAGCCACTACTTCAGAACCATGTTCACAAGCGACATGGCGGAACGTCGCCAGAACACGGTCGTTTTACAGGTAAAATGTAGGGTTGGCAGAAAGTTTAAAGTGTTACAACAAGACCACAAAACACCTTGCTTCAAACAAGTGTCTTGATAAGATGTTTTTGTCAAATGAATACTGGCTTTTTTTTTATCAAACCTTGGTCAGACCGTTTCTTTCCTAGAACGATCGCAGAGTGGAACTCGCTGTCACCAAGTACAATAGGGTGTATCACAAACATGATCTGCTCCCACATTTTCCACTGTACAAAAAAGCGAGAAGAAGTTGACCTGTCTGTATTAGCTCAGTGACTAGAACACTATGTATTAGCCTAGTATAGTACCCTAGAAAAAAGTTTTCAACCATACTGTAAATCGTACAAAACAGCTGCAAAATGAGCAAAAATATACCATGTTACAAAAAAATTAATAAAAACTATACCAATGTCGTAGAATGCCAAAATCAAACGAAAAAAGACGAAATTGTAAAGAAATGAACTTGAAGACTAGATTATTCGCCAAACCATATCTTTGCCATTTGCTCATGACCATGTAGATTTCATAATGAAAAGAACTTTTTTTGCTCAAACTTTTTTTTTCTATTCGCACGCGCGCATCAGTTTTGGGGCTCCCGGAGGATGTCATCCATATAATCAAATCAACATGGCCTTATGTATGTATGTCTAAGTCAAGTAGTGCATCTTTTGGGGATGGGGTTTTGTGCGCGTGAAAAATTTGCGCGCGCGTGAAAAATCTGCGCGTGAAAATATGCAAATTAGGTGATTCCCAGGGGGTCTTGGAAATTTTACATTTATTCGGGAATCTTAATTCTATCTTTATCTTCCACGCGCAAATTTTAACCTTTTTTGCGCGTGAAAACTTCACATTCGAACAAGTCCCTTGGGATTTGCACATCCATCCTTAATTTCCCATTTTCAATAGTAGTTTTCAAATGTTTAGTTTTCACGCGCAAAAAAGTTTGAAATTTGCGCGTGAAAGAATATGCTTGAGAAAAATGATGAAATTAAGCTTACAGAATGGAAAAAGCCTCAAGTTGTTACATTTTATGGTATAAAACTTTGCACTTGTAACTTTTCCTTGAATTTTTGACATATTTAAAGATCTTTGAATGTTCAGGTCTCATGTGAGGATATGCAAATTTAACTATTCCCAAGGGATATGCAAATTAAGCTATTCCCTAGGGAAGGGACCATCAAACCAGGAAATTTTTTTAAAAATCAGAAAAGTCATATCACGGGACACACTGATCTGCCTATACATGGTATTTACTTGAACTTGTTGAAGCAAGAACGGGCATTTCATAAACTCAAGTATCAATTATTGTCACATTGCCCAGTCACTTTCCAGGAAGAATCTTCATTGGTCAATGGTGTAGAAATAATCTTCACTTGGGTACAATTTATACAGCAAACATACAGCAATTTGATGAATGTGTTGAATTCATTAACCCTACTTGACAATGAATGTACCAAATGAATGTACCAAAAAATTTCATCAATTGGATAATTATGTCATCTACATGTACATGTACCGGTACATGGACAGGCCTGATGGTGGACAATGCGTAGCGTTATTCCATCGGAACATTATGTCAGGATTTCTCTATATGACTGTGTTCTAACTTCTAGCCAAATTTTCCCAGTCATTTGGCCACACCAATTTAATTTCTTGGTTAACGGATTCGCCTCTTCATTTTTTTCTGATTTGCAAATAAAAATAGAAATTCAGAATCAACTGCAAAATGCTCATATTTTGCCCTGAACAGTTGAAAACAGTCCTTTTCTTACTACCTTGTTACAGTCATTCCATCTATCAATGCAGTGCTACCATTAAAAGTTCAAAATTCATTGTTTAAATTTTGAACCAGCCTGGTGTGCTGACTTCATGGCTCCTATCGTACCATTTTGGGCCATAATAGGATGCCTAGGCCTGTTTTTATTTTTATTTTTTTTTCGCCCGCCCGTTCCATTATTTTTCTAGAAAAATCCGTTAACCAAGAAATTAAATTGGTGTGGCCTTACTGACAATAATTTTGCCCACTCCACCATCTTTGACAGTGTAGACGGTCTCCAAAAAAATCAAGATGAAACTCTTGTGTAATTTTGCATCAAACAAAATTTTACCCTCAAAATGCACAAATTAGCATTTCAAACTAAAGGGCCAAGATTTTAAAAAAACCTCCAGGGTATGATTCGGCACATTACAATGATGATATCATGTCAAAGAAAGTTGACAAGAAAAAAATTCAGACTGGCCCCTATGATGTGTTTTCATGCTGGGTGGGAGGAATGCAGAAATTTCATGGGGGATTATGGCCATATGGATGTTGCACTGGCTGAGTATCTAGCACTTTGAGGAGATAGTGGAACTAATGTCATCCAGAAAGTGGTTACATGACAAGTCTAGAGCTAGTAGGCCCTTTTCAATCGTCAACCAAAATACAATTTTAATCATTGTCACTATTTTGCTCTTTCAAAAGCGTGTAAGTAAGTGAGAAGCTAAGAGCTTTGATTATAGTTGTTCATGATACCATAAAATCTGTAAACTGAAGACTATTTCAGTATTTAATTTGTGCCCATACCTTGTTCTTCATGAAAGTATAGGTACTTAAACTTGTGTAACTGAACCGCTCACACTGTGGGAAGGGCATAGCCGTTTTGAGCCCAAGGGGAGTTTGGCCGACCCTAGAACTAGTTATGAGGGTCTAAATTTGTATTTTTAAACCTTCAATGACGCATTTTCCTGCACTTAGTTTGAAAGGCAACATTAGGCGTAACGAAGAATTATTCATTAACGCTTAACGCTGAATTTAGGATGACAAATAACGTTTTACGTTGAATTAAAACGACCCATAACGCTTCACGAGGAATATACTGATAACACTTAACGTTGAATTAGAGAGGGCCGGCTACGATTAACGGTAAATTAAAATAGCCCATAACGGTTAACGAAAAAGGGTATGCAGACCCTCAGTTATAGGAAGGATCCAGGCAGGGGATACAGGCTACAAGTGTGCTGGGTTGTAACATCCTATCCAAGAAACAGCTAACTTGCTCATGAAAACTCATGAAAAAAAAAAAAATTGGAAATAACATTGGATGATCCCAATGTGAACTATAAAATGAACTTGGCTATTGACACTCCCAGAGTGGATGTAAAAATTTTTGCCCCATACTAGTATTATATCCATATCCATTCTCAGAGTGGATAAAATTTGACAAGCCTCTCCTCATCTCTTAGCTACAATGATTTTCAATGGGATTTTCAATAGCCTTTAGGCCACACCAATTTCACTTGTTGTTTCTCTGATTTTTTCAGAGCGACAGGGAAAAAAAAAAGGCCAAGGCACCCCACAAAGGTTGAAAATGTTATGATATGAGCCATGAAGTCAACATACCAGGCTGGTTTATAATTAAAAGAATTACATTTTGAATTTTTAATGAAATGATGTTGCATTGTTACATTGAAAAACTTAAACGACTAGGAAGAAAAGGACTTTCTTCAACTGTTGGGGCCAAAATATGCCTTTTGCATATGCATTTTGCAGTTACATGTAATTCAGAACCTAGAATCTATTATTATTATTTTTTTTTTGCAAATCAGAAAAAAATGGACAGGGCGAATCCAAGAAGCAACAAATTAAATTAGTGTGGCCTTAGCTGGTAGACAACATTCAGACATTTTGAGATACTAAATTCACCAGACTCAGGATCTACCGATACATGTATACAATATATATTTTTGTTATACTTTTATCGGCAAAATCTATTTTGTCCCACTTTGACTCTTGCCAAATTATGTGTGGCTGGCAGGTACTATTGTGTAATTTTGAGGCCCAAGTCTGACTTAGTAACTATGTTATTGTTGTCCTTGTTTAGTAGTAATATCTTGCTAGATGCTGTCTGTTGGTGCTGGTTTACGCTTGGTTCAGTTCAACTTGTCTCTCTTGGTGCCTTGTGCTGATTCTGGAATTGTCTTGAGGAGAGCATCTATCTACTGAGGAACATGTTCTGGCCTAATTCTTTCTTTACAGGTCAATTGGGGGACACTGTAAATTGAACCCATTGGGTCAGCTAGCGTGAAGTTTTTGTGTTGCAACTTAATTAGTCCCATACATGAGCATGGTAACAACACAAAAAACCTTGTGTGCACCGATACACTGGCTCAAAATCCTTTTTTACCTCCATGAAAAATGGAGGTATTGTTTTTGGCGTGTCTGTCTGTATGTCTGTCTGTCTGTGTGTCTGTGTGTGTGTCTGTCTGTGTGTGTTTCCGCAACTTTGTGGTCAGCATAACTTCAGAACGCTTTTATGGATTGCGATGATATTTGGTGTGCTGGTAAGTCTTGGAAAGACAAAGGTCAAGGTCAAATATGGGCCTCCTAGTGGATGACCTTGGTACTGCAGCAGAACTTCCGGTTTTTGTATCTTTTGTCCTGAACAAGCTATGGTCTTGACTTTTTGGTGATAGATAGCTTATCCTGTCAGCAATAAGTGGTGTGAGTTTGGTCCCCCTAGCAGCTTGTTCTGGAACTGCAGGGGACTTTCTGGCGAAACCTTTAAAAGCCAATAAGTCCATATAGGAACAACGTATTTTCATGATATTTGGTGTGTAGGTAGCTTAGAGAGAGATGTACATGATTAAATGCAAATTATGCAAATGAGGACTTTATTTGCATAATTAATGAGGAAATTCTATAATTACAGTGTTTTACATTATACTACTTTCATACATGTAATGTATGTAACCTATGGCAGGCAGAGCATAAACAGATACTAATTATGCAAATGATGACCTAATTTGCATAATTTATGCAAAAATTCTATGATTTCTTAATGGTGAATAATGGGAATGTCATACTTGGGACATCTGTAAGTTAATCAAAAGTTAACATACATAACGATGCATATATCACGTTAATGCGGAGATTTACATTTACATATCAAGCCCATATTTCATGGAGGTATGAAATCTCGGAATTCTTGTTCTTTACTGGTGCAGGTAACATTGAAAATT